ACACACACACACACAAACACACCGCCGCCGCCGTTTTCCGCCTCGCCCTCGAATAAAGAAGGGGTAAAAAAAAAAGAAAAAAAAGGTGGCAACCCAACAAACAGCTGCGAAAAAAGGAAGGGAGAAAAGAAAACACAGACAAAAAAAAGAAGGCCAAGCACAGAAAATAAAGGAGAAAAAAAAATGGGGTGCAGGAATAAATACATGTCTACTGCAGACCGCCAACGGTGCAACATAAAAAAAAAGAGATAAAAATTCGCTTCTATTCCCGCACCAGAATCAATAAAATGGTCATCACGGGCACGCAAATATAAATACATGCATATAAAGATAAAATACATTTCAAGATTTCACTGCACGTATTTGTGTTTCGTCGCCAACAGCTCCCATCCCCGCCACACAAAAACGTGCTCGCAGTGCAACCGCCTTCAACATCAACCCCGGGTGTCCACTGCTCTCTCCCTCTTTCGGATACCCAACCTTCCCTCGTGTTGAGTGGGGCATCCACTTCGTGGTAAAAGGAAGATAAAAAAAAAAAAAGAAAAGAAAAAAACAAGCCCTTTCGGCCATTTCTCGGCCTCATCCCCTCCACATTTTCAGCAGCATGCAATAGAAGCACAGAAAAAAAAAAAAAAAAAAAAAACATTTAAACAAATAAAACAAAGGGAAGTTATTACATGTGCGTGCCACATATAATACATACATGTACATACATACATATAAATTACACTTACTTATGTATTGACGCATATTGCACTCCATTATAAACAAACAAAATGGCAAACAAAACCAAACAAAACCAAACAAAAAAGAAAAACAGGAATTCATCCGACCTGGAGATATCCTGTTTCCACTCGCTTCTCCAGTCCATGTGCATGTACAGGTGAATGAACGTTTATGGAAAAAGCAAAAAAAAAAAAAAAAAAAAGAAAACAAAAATTTCAAAAAAAAAAAAAAAATTGGCAATCACATATGATTCTGCGTAAAACACGGCAAAACAAAAAAAAAAAAAAAATTTGAAAAAAACGGCGCATAGCATTGAAACTAGAAAAAAACAGTAAGCATACACGCATACACAAACACATCTATATAAATACACACATACACATCTATAAAATCATGTGTAGACGTGCTGCCCATAAGGTGGAATAGGAAGAAAAAAACAAACAAATACAAGAAAAAAAAAAAACAGACGAGGCGGCAACCAAATATATATATATATATAAATGAGAGAAAAACAAAACAAAAAACATGAAGACCAAAGAGATGAAGGAATCGCTCTCCCACCCACCACCCACCCCCAAACAAGAAAATGCACACGTATAATAATATGGAGGGAAGAAAAAGACAATTTGATTGAAATTCATTCGACATGCACCCATCGCAATATCCCCTTCTCCTTCCTCTCTTTCTCTCTTTCTCTCCTTCTCCGCTAAATGTAGTTTTGGGTGTATGTCTTTGTAAATTACACATACATGGGTAATACATACAGTTCTATTTGGGATTATTCAGGGCGGACAACAGCCCAGCAACAACAAGCCTCACTCGCCTCCTCGTGACGATGCCCACCAACAGAAGTAATGAACAACACGAACAAAAAGGAAGCAAACTCACACACACACACACACACGAAAAAAAAAAAAAAAAAAAAAAGCTAGAAATACGGAGCGGAAGATCGGGCAATCGCCACCTGGCAACATAAATCGTGGGGCACCATCCCTCTTCGCCATGATCACACCTTTGACTTCTTGGAACGGGAAAACGACAGCGCCTCTCGAAGCATGGAGAAAAACCCGGATTTACTCTTGAAACGAGTCGCGGCCCTTCCCGTTGAATTGGCAACCGGTAAGCTGGCATTTGCAGTAAAAATGCTCTTCTCCCTGCGTTTCGTGGTGGCATCATGTCTTTCTTCCCCCTCCAGAAATGGCAACAACACCTTGGTGAAAACGCGATCGCTTTCGGGAATGGAAAAAAGACCCTCCCTGGCAGTCTTCTTTTCAGTTCCCAAAAAGGAGTTCTGAGCCCGCACAAAAACATCTTTTTTGGCTGTTTGTGGGCTTTTGATGTTCTCCGTCCCCTTGTTGCCACCCGTGGCCGCACCAAATAAAGAATTATTTTCGCTGCTACACACTAAAAAAGGCGAGCAGTAAACACCAGATCTCTCCTCGGCTTCAGTGAATCCTTTCGAAAAATGTGCATCTTGTGCATCCCAGCATTCTTCAACATGTTGGCCTAACAGCCACTCCATGTCGTCTTGATCCTTCTGCTGCTGTGCGGGAGTCAGTGCACCTTCCAGGTCAGCCTGTGTAATAGCCGTTGGAGAAAAAAGCTGGTTAGTTTCGGGAGACTCATCTTCTTCACTCATACTCTTTACAATAGCACGCGCTGCTCGAACTGTTATGCGCTTGCTGGAGTCGCGATCCAGTAGTCCCTGGAGCAAATCCGTCCACTTGCTACCATAAGATGTGGGTATCACAGGGAGTGCTGGATCCATGATATCATCCAGAGTTATAAAAGGCAGCATTCCGGTAAGGAGAATATAAAGTGTGACCCCCAGAGCCCACATGTCGACTGGACTCGCGTGGGAACCATCACCCCTCCAAATTTCTGGGGCCATAAACAGCATGGTGCCTTTTGCTCCTTGGATAGGGATGCCTTGTCCCTGATGCGTCCCACCGGATGTTCTAACAGCCATCAAGCTCTCCTGCATCATTGCCTCCATTTTCTCACGATTAGAAGTATCAAAAACCTCCGAAACGCCAAAGTCAGCTAAGAAGACGTGTTTGTTTCTGTCCACCAAAATATTTTCTGGTTTAATGTCCCGATGCACAATTTTGTGCTGGTGCAGGTACTCAAGACCGGCAAGAATTTGTCGGGCGTACCAAGCCAATTCATTCTTTGGAATGGGCGTGCAAACCTGTGTGTCCGCCTTTGCGTCTGGAGGGAAGTTAACACGGCCAATCGGTCCTTTGTCTACGTACATCATCACGAGATAAAGTTTTTTCGCATTGGGATCGTCAATCACTTCGTACAATGAAACAATATTTTTATGACGTAATTTCTTCATCACCGCAATCTCCCGTTGAAAGGCACTGAACTGCTTTTGAGCATTGGTCTGGCCGCCAATCCGGAAATTGGTGTCAGCACGCTTCACCACCTTTATTGCTACAAGTGTGTTATTTTCCATGTCGTAGGCCAACTGTACCTTCCCACATGCCCCTCTACCTATTTCCTTTATTATTTGGTAGTGATTGATTTGCTTGGTGCCGTCCTCGCCTCGAAAAACAGAAAGTTTCCCCGTCCACCTGGCAGGGTATTGCATCGCCATGCTTTTCGTGCTGGCTGAAAAGGAATACTGATTATGCATCGTCTGCCCGGATAAACTTTCCCTGTGTGCGACAGGAAGGGCATCTGGAAGGGCCGCCGCTTGCGTGGATGCAAGTTCACTGAGGTGACTGAGAACGGAGTTGGTATCCCCGCCAAGCATGCTGCCGAGGCCCATCCCCTCCTGCGAAGCAAAAGAAAAACGTGTGTTGGGCAACAAGTTGGGTTCTTCGTCCACCCGTCGCGCCCGCTTAAATTTTTGCGCGCCCCCATGGGGCGAGTCGGTACCCTCGCTCAAAAAATTTGAGTTCCTCTGCGGACTATTGCTTCGCTGCAGCAGCAAAACTGGTTTTTGCTGCTGGGACTGCTGTGACCTCAGCTGTGGCTGCCATGCACGCCGCTCCTCCACCGCGACGCCGTTAGTGCTGGCGAGCATTGTCTCTTGCATTTTGTGCACGTGTTCAATGAGCTCATCGCGGCTCATTTTATCCATTGTATCATCGCTCAGCATTGCTGCGGGCGGTGGCGCTCGCACGCGCAGGCAGAGACCCCACAAACTCGAGTGCTGTGTCGCCTCACTCTATTCCCTCGGAGGAAAACAGGCGCGGAAAGAAGAATAAGCCTCAGATACAAAAAAGAAAAAGAAAAAAAGAGAAATTGAGACAATGAGAAATAACGCTTTTTTTTTTTTTTTTTCGCATGCAAAATCATCCATTTACGTGCATTTGTACGCCTGGTGGTGGTGGTGGTGGAATTGAGAGTGGGAGTGGGTATCACCGAGTAAACATAATTCGTTCCATCGGCGTGGCAAATATTTAACACGCCGCTGTAACTCCTCGGCAAATAAACATGTGGCACGGACAATATAAGGCGACAGACACACACGCACACAAATAATAATAATAATAATAATAATAATACGGAATAACAATAAATTGGAGCACTTGGTTTTCCCTGCAGCCCTCACTCTTCCCTCTGCCCCTCATGTCCACTCACTTTCTTGTGGTTTTGAGTGGTGGTGGTGTTCCTGTGTCTTTTGTCTTTTTTTTCGTTTCTTTTCCTCTGTTCTATCCCATCCCAACCCATTCTCTTTTTTTGTTTCGTTTTGTTTTGTTTTTTTTTCGTTTTTTCCGCTGTGCTTCCATCAGTTATTGACATTTCCTCAAACTCCTTTTCCCCTCCCTCTCACTCCTCCTCGGCAAGACGCCTCTTCCTGGCCGCCTCCTCCTCGCGCTCCTTTTCCACCTCGACAACAAACTTGTGCAGCTCATCATCGCCCATGTACAGTGCCTTCTTGTTCTCCAGAACAACAAGCTCAATATTCTTCGAGCCACTCTCTACAGCCTCCAACAGTGCCTTAATGGCAAAATGCACGCACTGGTCGCGTGTCATATTTTCCTGGTAGCTCTTCTCCATGAATTCCAATACCGTTTTATCGTTGCGCCCAATGGCCACCGCTCGCCATGCGGAACTCATGCCGGAGGGATCCGTCTTCCACAAATGCGGCTGCCCGTTCTCGTTGAAGCCGCCGATGATGGTCGAAACACCATACGGACGACTTCCGCTGGACTGCGTTGATTTCTGCTGCACCTTTGCAACGTATCGGACAAGGAGATCGACATCAACGGCATCCTCGTAGTTCAAACGGAAGCGTTGGCACTCCAGCTGCGCGTGGTTCACGAGCACTCGGGCGTCGGCGGAAAGGCCAGCAAAGGCAAGGTAGATGTGCTCATCCAGCTTGTAGATTTTGCGAATTGTGCGACTGTCCTGCAGTTTTTGCACCGATTTCTTCTCCACGGCGAAAATGATACTATCCTTTCCGCGCACCCCAACCGCGCAAAGACCCTTGCGGACCGCCTCCTGCGCGTATTCGACCTGAAAGAGATGCCCATCTGGGCTGAAGACAGTAATGGCGCGGTCGTAGCTCATATTCCTTCTTTCTTTCCTTGTGTTATCGCTTTGCTGTTCCTTCCTTCTTCTTTTTCCCCCCTCATTTGAGGTGGAAAATGCAGGACAGAAAAGGAGGAGAAGGAGGAGGGGATCGTGATGCCCATTTCGCAGTGGAGCAGCAAGAGGTACAAACAAAAACAAACAAAAAAAGCACCAGAGACGGGCAGCGCTCCCTCGGCAACATGCTCACACACTCCCTCGTTCCCTTTTCTCTCCCTTGAGGTCTCTCTCTGTGTGTGTGTGTGAATTGCCGCTGTCTGTTCGGTAGTTCCCCCACTCCACTTCACACACAAACACACACACACACTCTCTCTCTCTCTCACTGTATGGTCGCCATGTCAACAAAAGGCAAATGTTGGAAGGGTCACGTGGCCAAAGGGGTCCGCGCCAAAAAGTTTGGCATCTTCCACTAGTACCACTTCATTATCGCCAAGCGGTCGTGCTCGCTTCAAAGACATCCCTTCAAATTCACACTCAAAACGCCAAGCCGCAGCTGCAGAACTTTTCACCAATTCCAGTACATGTGTCACCCGTACCTGGCTCTCTTCCTGAAATGCAAATGCACCCCGGCAATCCAGCAGGCACTGTGTTAGACGAAGACGAGTGTTCACGGCGTGGAGAAACGAGTGGCCGAGTTCCTCTCCCGAGACCGTTGTGATCACAATTGCCACACAGAACTCCTGTGCGATGCTCTTCAGGATGCTCATGAATTCTGCCACGGCCTCGTGCCGCTCCGTCAATTCTTCGTCCACTCCTGGAAAGCTGCGCCGTACCAGTACGGAGAAGTTGTCTACCACAACAAACCTCACATCTGTCCGATTTGCCAAGTGGCTTCGCAACACTGGGAAGTACTGCCGCAGCTGCGCAAGCGTAGGATGAACCGTCACCGCCACATTACGAAGCACATCCTCAAGATCTTCTCCGTCCTCTTGATCACTGCAGCTGCGCGCTTCAAAATGCCGCTTCAAAACCGCCGCCGCCACCGTTGCTGGGAACGCCGAAACATCTGTGGTAATCCACAGCGTGCAGGACTTCCTGTCATCCTTCTTGGGATAACTTGCGGCACGCATCGCAAGGTTAAGTGCGAATGCCGTCTTTCCGGCGCCGGTGGCCCCTGTGATCTCCGTGATCAATCCGCAGCCCAAACCACCCCTCAGGGCACCATCCAAGCACTCCTGTCCAGTGGAGATAAAATGGCGATGGTGACTAGAAAGGACAGCAGCCACTGGCGTTGGGGATAAAAAAGAATTGTTCCGGCGCAAAAGAGCAGCACTGACGTGACTGTAGAGTACGTAAACGTCATCCAAAGACGCGTTCATCTGTTGGGCCAACACGCACTCTGGCCGAAGCAGCACCCTCTGAAGGAGTGAGTGTGTGTTCAGGCCGGTCTCCATCATCCCCTGCTGCCGCAGCAGGAGACGAAGACGTTCCGCCTGTTCCACGGGAATTTCCTCCAGCGTCAGCGACTCAACAGAACTTCCAGGCATTGTGACATCATCTTGATCCCTCTTCTTTGTTGTAGCCGCATCATTAAATTGCATCGCCGCATGGATGAACCGGTCCCGCCACAGACGTCGGTACAATTCTTATGTGGGTGCGTGTTTTTTTCTTTTGTTTTGAATTTCTTTTCGTTGCCCTCAAAAAAAAACGAGCAGGAATCAAATACGGCAAAACAAACCAATAATAAGAAGGGAAAAAAATGTGCAAACATTCATGTGCGTAACTAAAAAAAAAAAGAGAGAAAAATAAATAATGAATTCAAAGCGCTCCTCCATCCACGTACAATATTACACAATTCATTAGAGCTATTCCCTCCATTACCCCTTTCTCCTCGGCACGTATCTTTATACCACCTTCAGAGGCTAAGTGTGGCTCTATACTTCTAGCACGCTATAACAATTCACTGGGAAACTGAAATTTCTCTAAACACGTCGTTCATCCTACGCGCAAGATCGATATCCTTTTGTGTGACACGGTTCCCCGAGCCATGTGTTGTGAGTTGCACCTGGAGCCTGTTGTAAGTATTCGTCCAGCTCGGGTGGTGCCCCATCCTCTCGCAGTCGACAGCCACGGCGTTCATAAACGCCATCGCCTGTTTGAAGTCACGAAACTCAAAATCACGACATATCGCGCCCTTGTTCATGTTGCCCTCCATGCGCCACCCTTGCAGCTCCTGCAGCGCCTGCGTGATGGCAGGTTGCGAAAATGGCATCCAAATGGCACACAAAATCGTCGCCCGACGCATTTCTTCCAGAAACACACAACCGCTAAAAATAGTTTCAGAGAAAAAAAATAAAAAGTTAAAATTAAAAATTAAAAAAAAAGGTTGTCGAGTGAAGAGCGTAAAAAAAAAAAAAAGGCAACACACCACCATGTGGGCAGCTCCCACATAATGACGCCGCTCGTGATCAAATTGACGCAAGCCGCAGGTGTCAACCAAACGGAAACAACAACAACAACAACAACAACACGCACACACACACACACAGAGAGGGGGGAAAAAGCTTCTCCTTCCCACTCAACGCGGCCTCACGATGTCTCTTCGTTCCGCGCAAGCCCCTTCTTAAGCTCAAGGAGACGCTTTTCATCCTCCTGCATTTGATGCAGGACTGCCTCCAACTGCCGCTTCTCCGCCTCCAACTCCATCATCCGCTGATCCAAATGATTCACAAGTGCATCCAGCGAGTGGTTCGTGCCCGCATCCATCCAAACAGAAAAAAAAAGGACAAATAACCCGCCTCCCTCGCCCCGCCACAGACAACAAGACACCTAAACTTCCCCTTTTCCGCCCCGCCTATGTACGTGAATACGTACGGCCGTGCGGTTCTTTCACCTTTTTTTTTTTTTTTTTTTTTTTTTTTTAATCGCATGGAGGGCAGAAAAGCACAATCATAAAAGTCGTCCATCCAAAACGCACGCACGCACACACACAGAAAAAAAAAAAAATAAAAAAAAAAAAAAAATACTTCAACATTGTGCCGTGGTGGCAGAGTTCAAGAATAAATGCAACAAGAAAAAACGATTAAAAAAAAAATAAAATACTGGTGAGCTGAAGGACTAAACAAATTTGTTAGTCTGCAAAGCGCTGAACATTTAAAGAGTTTCCAATAGAGACGTGGATTGAAATTCCTTGATTAATGGTCATGGCAAAGGCGTCATAGTCTTCTTTTTTTAAAACTTCCACTGGAATACGCACCTCTCCCTCTGAACCTGTATAACCACCGGATTTACTGACGAGCAATCCCACAGCCCCCCCGCGCTGGGCCGTCAAAGCCTGGACGACGGTATCGCACTCGTGACCCAAAGCCAAAACGATGGCCCCTTTCCACTTGTTGCTGCCGGCACCATCCGCGCACAGCTCCGCCCCCCTCACCAGGAGAACTTCCCCTTTGTGCTCCCTGCCGCTCCAATTCGGGGGACCAACTGACAATTTATAAGCGTCAAATTTCCGGCTTGCAAGAAAAGCGGGGCGCTGAACCCGCACCGCCATCACGTTCCCCGCGAGGAGCAGAAGAGTCACCAAAAAAAGAAGCAAACAAAATCTCATTAAACACATCAGAAGCAGGACCTTGTATTTTTACTTTTGCTGATATATTTATTTATTTATCTTGTTGTTGTTGTTGTTTTTGGTTGTCTATCTCCACTTTGTGTTTTTTGATTATTATTTCTTTTGTTTGTTTGTTTTTTTTTGCTTTTCGCGCCTCCTTCTCGTTGTTTTCAAACCCCCTCTGCATGCCACGCAGCCCCCAAAAGAATACGTGAATGTAAACATAAACACACACATAAAGAAAAAAGCAAAATAAAAAAGAAAAATTATTTTTGTTACGTGTGCAGGCCACAGAAGGACGCATAAACACATGTATGCAACCGCATTCACCAGCTGAAGAATAATGTTTTCAACTTTTCAGGCAAAACAACAACAACAACAAAGTCGTGTTTTTTTTTTTTTTCCTGTTTTTTTTTGCCGTCGCGTGGAGTGACAGACATGCAACTCATCAAAGGGAATACGCCGCTTCAGCTCTTCATCGTGAAGCAGACAAATCACTTTAAAAAAAAAAAAAAGAAATTGTCACGAATACAACAACTTCGCTCTACTCAGCGTAACGCGAAAAAAAGAAAGAAAAAGAAAGAAAAAAATATATATTTTTTTGATGCTCGACAACCTCAACGTGCCTGTTTATATTCATTTTGCGTGCACAGAAACACAACGTCCCAGTCACACACAGAGAGAGAAGGGGAAAGGGAAAGATACATACGAAAAGGCGCAAGCATTGAAAGTAGCGATACGGGTCTCAAAAAAAAAAAAAACTACAAAATACCTTTTCCTAAATAAATAACCAAACAAACAAGAAATAAATAAAAAAAAAGAAAAAAAGAAAAAACTTCTGCGGATTATCTTTTTTTTTTTTTTTTTTTTTTTTTTTATTTCTTTTCCCCCTCCACTACTCACCTTCTATTAAAATTCATAACGACACTCCCAGTGGAATTTTGTTGTGTATTACACCTCTTCCTTCTTATTTATCTTACGCAGGTTGCCCCACATATAATGCGACTCGTCTATAACCTTCATTGCGAAACTCTTGTCTTTAAACTCCCCGTTGAAGACAAATTTGTTCTCTACACCTCCCTGGCAGATTTTGTACACCCGAAACCACTCGTGAATGGCGTCTAGGCAGCCTGGAAGGAATTTAGGCACGTCGTGGATGTCCTTCAGAAAACGGCAAATGGGATCGTTGTGCGAGATGCAGATGACCTTCCAGTCCATCTGCCCGTCATCAATCATCCCAAGGATTCCAAGCACCTTCACAGCCCCCACCTGCCCAACCTTAAATTGTGTCATGCCGATCTCAATGGCATCTATCGGATCATTATCACCAACGTAGCCGCCCTCAAAAACAACATCTGTACTCTCCCACGTCTGCGGCAGCGCCCCGTAGTTCCACATCATATCGCCATGCTTGTAGAAGCGCGGGACGCCGTTCTTGATGTCTTGCTTGATGGGGTTAAACGGCTCCCCCGTGGCAATTTCAAACTTCGCACGCGTCCACTTGGGAATCTCACAAATGAAATTGTAGCGATTCATCGGCAGTGACGCAGGTTTTGTGCGCACCAAATCTCGCACATAGAGGGGAATGTCGTGCCAAGGCGACACCTGCAGCTCCTTCCCTGTCTCCATGTCCCTGAAGTAGTACAGGACCCGGTAACTCGGCGTATACAGTTCACCCGTCTCCCTCGTTAAGAGCTGCTGCTGGTGATACGGCACGGCAAAATCGACCGAAACCATCGAGAAGAAGTCTTTCTTTGCCGGAACTTCTGGATGTGAGCACCACCAAGCCCAAAACTTTTCAAATGTGATATGGCCATCAATGGCATTGATCTCACTTTTCATCTGCTTCACATCGTCCTCATTCATAACGCGGCCCAGGTACTTGCACATATGCTCTATCTTTCTTTCCTCAAGGTACCCCAACTGCGTCACGTCGAATGCAGAAAACATACGAGCCATGACCCTCTTTTCCATTGACAAAGTGAACTCATCCTTGCCGTATGCAACCAGGTCAAATTCGGTTACATTCCGTTTGCACGCTTCAGGTAGTGGCTTCACATTCTCCAGAGAGGTATCGAGGCCCGTGCCAATGTAACTGTTGGCCACGTGTAAGGACGCCACCTCTGCCATTGTGTTCGGAGAGTGCAGAGTCTTCTCCGTCATCCCCTCCATTAACGTCGCCTTATTTTCAGACATTTTAAGCTTTCTTAGGAATATTGCACAGAGTGAAAGCAAAGTAAATTAAACAAATACCAACAAATCACGCCAAGGATTTTTAACAATCATCATTATCTTCACAAGTGAATTATTAAACCAAACTCTGCTTTGCTATGCTGAGCGCTGCCCCCATGCGTGAGAGTGCCCTTCGCCGTACCTCCACCTCGTTGGCAAGGTAAGTGCGCAGTTCCAAACGCACAGACTGCGCGTTTTTACTGCGAATACCTCTCTGCAGTTCTACAATGGGGTGCGCCAGTGCCTCGAGTTGCTTAGTAAATTTTGACAAGGCATCCGAAGAAAGGGTTTTATTTCCAGACGCCTCAGCGATCTCCACTACTAGCTGCATATACTGCGACCGTATGGCACGTACAAGGTCGAGTAGTTGTGAGACCGACGGTACTGCAATCAACTGCGGCTCTTCCGTTAACTTGGGCGCTTCGGAATCCATCGAAAAAATATGACTCTCAGCGCCGTTCCTCATAGAAATGCGCTGAAGAGTCTCAGGTAGCGGCATCTCCCCCTCTGTGCCTGACATTCTGTGATAGCAGGATGCTCCAAAGCCTCATTTCGCAAAATAGCAAAGAAGTAAAAAGTAAAAAATAAAAATAAAAATTCAAAAAGTAAAAGTAAAAATGTGATTCGATGAAAATACTCTGTGGCACTCAGCAAAGAGATAACATGTTCCTTCTGAAGAAGGAGGAAAAGCAATAAGGTGAATGGTGTTTTAAACCTGCAATGGGTGCCATTCACAAACAAACGCACACACTCTGAGACTCCTAGCCTCCATGCAGACGCAGCAAAAATAAAAATAAAATAAATAAATGTAACTTTGTCCCAAATTTCTTTATATATATATATATATATATATATATATATATATATATTAAGACCGTGTATATGTTCTTTCTAATAGCCTTTGATCAACCACTTCAAGTGTTGCAGCAGAGTCCAATTGTCTCGTCCCTCCTTGTTTCGTTTGAGTCGTTTATTTATCGACACAAGGATTTGCGTCTTTCGGATGCCCTCGTTTCCCGCAAGGAGTAGATTTCGAATGCGCTTGTTGTACTTGATCGCCTTTTTAAGTGCATCGGCGCCATCGTCTGTGATATTGTTAAATGAAAGGTCAATGGTTTCCAGAAGACACACGTAGCCGGAAGAGCAACGCTTACGCAAAATAAATGCAAGGGCCTTTGCATCTTGGTCCCCCAGACAACAATGATGACATGAGAGCTCTACGACTTGGAAGCGTCCAAATCCCGGCATCCAGAGCAGCGGGGCCACGTACGCAAGAGCAAGACTGCGCAGAGCCATGCATTGTAGTTTGTACCACTTAATTTTGCTTCGGCCACATCGTTTGTCAGGAAAGTAACAGATGTCTTTTTTGTGCCTCCAACTCGGGTTGCCGTGAGTTTCACATGAACTTGGGGACCCCAGAGA